TATAAAGTTTGTGAATAATATATTCAAGCAATATCAATATCATATGCAAATATAAATTGTACCAGTGTTATACAATCCTGTTAAAAATGCTAAACAATTGTCATATCATTACTAAATCTGATGAATATTTGCACTGTTTTTGGCCTAAATGTCAATACAAGACAACAAATAAATGGGACTTGATTTCACATCAATTAAGGCATTCATCATCAAAACAATTTATATGTGATTTTAATAATTGTAATAAATTTTTTAAAACAAAATCTGGTTTATTATTACATAAAGATAGCGTTCATTTAAATGTGAGATTTATTTGTGATTTCAATGAATGCCACAAAAGTTTTACAACAAAACAGTATTTATTTCAACACAAAAGTTGTGTTCATTTGAATGAAAAGAAATTCAGATGTAATGAAGAAAATTGTGGCAAAAAATTTACAACAAAAATGACTCTAATTCGACACAAACGCATACATTCGGGAGAAAAACCATTTATTTGTCATTTTAAGGATTGTGATAAAACATTTCGCACAAAATCTGAATTTAATTTACATATGAAAAGACATTTGAATATAAAAAGTTATAAATGTATTCATAATAACTGTAATCAAATGTTTGTTACATCAGGTGATTTGAAATCACATTTAAATCATAAACATAAACAAATTTAATCAATTCTAATTTTACTATTTAATAATTTTCAATAAGATAAAAATAAAATAATTATGTTATAAGTTATAACCAAATATTTGGTAATTATTCAGTAATTAATACAGTAATTAATTATTATCTTAATTATTGAGCAACAATTGATTGTCAATTTAATTAACTTATTTTATTGATCAAAAATATTGGCTCCAAATGCCATCACATGTACTCTCGTATGGATTGTTGAGAATAAGTGACATATCGTTGGGATTCAAGTCTTTCACTCGAATCACAGATTTGTCCCAAAGTTGTGGCCAAACGTCATGTGCTTTACTATAGAAACAGATTTTAAATTATTAATAATATTGAAAAATAATTGATACAAAGAAAATGTCCATGTAAAAAATCAATGACTATATTAAAAACAATTCATATAATGTACCCATTTTTAGCAAAATCAGTCCATATTTTCATTACATCAATACTAAAGTCATATTCAGTTTCGCTAAACAGTTTTGGATGTCTCAATGGAAAGCCGTAAACAAAAGCTAAGTCCGCGCCGTGACATACGGCGTCTCCGGTATCGCCAAATATATTGCCATAGAATTGACTTTGAAAATTAAAATGATAAAAATAAACATTGTGTCCATTTGTAGCAAATCTCTTGGCAAACAGATATGTGGGACAAGTCATCACTAAATCGCCATATAATGCATTTAACGCTGCCTTCAGTTGCGATGAATTAGTTTTGTCAACACCTTTGAGATAATAATCGCACACTTTGTCCACATCTATGTTATGAAATTCATTACTTAATTTGATCACAATTTCCCGCAACTTTTGTTCAGTCATTTCGGTTTGCATTTCTGGGTATAACATAAGTGTCAGTATTAGGCCCTCATCTTTGGTCGCACCGGCCATTAGTTCTACATCTAGTAATAATATGTTATATAAAGTTTGTGAATAATATATTCAAGCAATATCAATATCATATGCAAATATAAATTGTACCAGTGTTATACAATCCTGTTAAAAATGCTTTTTGTGGTAAAACAGGTAAAAATTCTGTACCAAAGACGGCGTGTGTCATAACAAGGAAACCATAATCTGGTTTCTCAATAAACAGGTTCGGGTCGTCTATTGCTCGCAAACAGTTCAACCATTTGTAGTCGAATTCATCGCAATTCAAACGTCGGGCCAATTGTNGCAATTCAAACGTCGGGCCAATTGTTTGGCCCTTTGAAGGCCCTCAACAGTGCTGAGCGCCGGACGATCTTTGTTATACATAACGGACCCGCTCTGCATAATAGCCCTCTTAAACAGACCTTTCGATAGCGGAGACAATACATGTGCCGATACGGACCAACTGCCAGCACTCGCACCAAATAATGTGATCTGATTTTTATCTCCGCCAAATAGATGTATATTTTCTCTAACCTATCATTTAATGACGTTTTTAATTTAAATAATAATTACGATATATCATTTACATTAAATAAATTAATACCCATTTGAGTCCTAATAACTGGTCATAAAAGCCCGCATTTCCGGGCGCTGTCTCATCGCCGCCGTAGAGGAAGCCCAACGGCCCGACCCTATAGTTAACCGCAACCACAACCACATCATTAGTGGCCAACACTGAAGAGTTGTAAACGGTTTGAAATATTGATCCAATACTCAGAGCTCCGCCATATATGGAGAACATGACTGGTTTTAGACCCACTTTCTGGTGATTATCATTACTATTGTCCACATTTGGTGTCCATATACTTAATACCAGACAGTCTTCACTAGAGGTGGGTTCATATCCTTCATCAATAAACTTTATTATGTTTTGAATGCAATAATTGCCGGGTTTTGTGCCATCAATAATAACCTAAAAAATTATAAAATTTTAATTTTTATGTTCAAATATAAAATAACATATTAATCCCAATACCTTTCTGGGCTCCTTAAGTGGTAAAGGAGGTGCGAACCTGAGTGGGCCTAAAGGGGGCTCAGCGTAGGGTATATTCAAGAATTGATGTATAGAGCGATTCAAGACATGGAGTGTCTGACCCCTCACTGAACCCGAACTCGTGTTCACATCAA